CTATGTATAAAGATTTTGAGTCTGGATTGCATAAGAAGCCGACTGGGATAGAACAGAACTTTGAGGAGTTGGTGTGTAAGGCTCGCTTTGAAGAGGCGAAGTGGAAAGAGACAAACCTTGGATGGACCATAGATACAACACTGGAGGTACCAATGAACGGTATGAACGGACACACTGGAGACGATCTCTGGGTCCTTGGCCGAGACAGGGACCGAGGGAGTGGTAGAAGGATCTGTCTCCCCCATTCATGATGCTCAACAGTTACCAGTGCTGCCGCCCTCTAAAGGAGCGAAGGAAGATGCTGAAGAAGACTCTTTTGAGGAATGGGTTGACCGCCTCAAGGAAATGGGAGTATGGTGTAGATGTGACGACCATAAAAAGTTAACACAGCTTCGATTGAGGCTGGAGGGTCCCGCTAGATCCTTCTACAAGTACAAGTCTTACAGTGAGTCTGAGAAGAGGAGCTATGATGCTCTGAAACCAGCTCTTGTTAAAAGATTTACCCCTGTTCGACTGACAGCAGTACAGACCAGCAGGCCTGCAGGGGAGGCAATTAAAGTTTGAATGAGTCAGCTGATGAGTATATATGCTTAGGAGTTGAGGAAGTTATTATATAAAGCATATCCCCCAACCTATCATGGGACTCCAGAAGCAGAATTATTAGGCAAGAGAAGTGTTCTCTCTAATCAGTCTGTTGTAGAAGGGAATTTCGAGGACTTGGTGTGTAAGGCTCACTTGAAGAGGCAAAGTGGAAGGAGACAAACCTTGGGACAGAAGAGAAACTAAGGGGAAAAAAGCCTCCAAGGAAGCCTAGTGATGACTCTGAAGAGAAATAAAGGGGGCTACAAGTTCCATTGATGTGGCAGTACACAACACTTTATTCAGGACTGTCCATTCGAAGGATGGGGAGCAACAAAAGAAGCTAGGTCTTATTTTGTAAATGGTAGGTTCATTACATGTACTATGATCTTGTTATGTCATCACAACAAGACTATAATGTCCCACCCTATGCTTCCCCTAGCATGATTAATATTGTGTTATGTCTGTGCATATGTCACTTCACGTAATAATGCATCTACGTTTGCTAATATCTGTATAAACATTTGTTACCTAATTAAGATTGGTTTAGAACTTGCTCTTTGTGTGTCTTGTGAATTTTAAGATTCAAATTTAAATTTTAAATATTCAATTTTAAAATAAAATTCAATTTTAAATTTACAAGTTGTTTGTCCTAATGTTATCGTAAGATCATGTTAACTTGTATTCCTTTTCTTTTGATTAGGAGAGACTGATATAATCTGCCCTGCTAACTGTGATGGCCAGTCATGACCACGTCCATGGCTGCAGACCGCGGCTGAACTAGAGAAACAGAAGTGGGAGGCCAGAGGAGAGGAGCTCAATGGTTAAGAGAAGAGCAAGCTGGAGGCGAAAACCTGAGCAACTGGAATACACAGTGGAGACGTCGATCTCTGGCTCCTTGGACGAGACAGGGACCGAGTGAACGGTAGAAGAATGTCTTCCCATTCATGATGCTTAACAGTTACCAGTGCTGCTGCCCTTTAAAGGAGCAAAGGAGTATGCTGAAGAAGACTCGTTTGAGGAATGGGTTGACCGCTTCAAGGAAATGGCAGTCTAATGTAGATGGGACGACCATAAAAAGCTAACACAGCTTCCATTGAGGCTGGAGGGCCCCGCTACAAGCCTTGCAGTGATTGAGTCTGAGAAGAGGAGCTGTGATGCTCTGAAAGCAGCTCTTGCTAAAAGATTTACTCCCGTTCGACTAACAGCAGTACAGACCAGTAT